ATCTGACTGTAAACAGGAAGTTCTTCTGGATTTATTGCCACGTTTAGATAAAGTTAATAAAAATAAAAAGGTTATGGTTTGTTCTGATGTTTTGGTTTCAGAAATAAAAAAACATAAAAAACAAATTATTGCTAAAGATTAGCCTTYTATCAAAGGAAAAGAGCTAAACGAGTCCAGCTGGCGTCTAAAAGCGAGGAGTGGACTTGTGTTTGAGCAGAGCGGCGATGGACGACGACCTGGTGACCTTGGCGAACTGCGTGAAGGTCAGCGGCCTCTGAGCTGACGAGGCCGAGGAGAGGTGGTGGCGCAGGCCGTGGCGCCGACGCTTCGGCTGCCAGTCCGAGTCGCCCGGCCCGCCCCTCTCGGTCAGGGRGGCGCGCGCCGGCGCTCCCAGCAGCTGGAGGACGTCAGGCGCCGTGCTGCCCAGGTACTGCCACGCCCGCTTCCCCGCCGTGTCGCGGAGCCGCACGTTAGCCTGGAACTTGACCACGAGCAGCTGGATGACCTTCTTGTGGCCGTGCATGGCGGCCACGTGGAGAGGCGTCTGCCCCCCGGCGGCCCGGGCGTCGATGTCGAACGTCAAGCCGAACTTTTCTACGCCGTACCTGAAAACAGGAAACACAGAGCTTGAAGTCAGAGCCACGTGAAACGCCACTTCCTGTTTCAGCCAGGACCCGGGGCGGCGGCTCACCACAGCGTGTTGAGGGCCCGGTGGGCCCCGTGTTTGGAGATCCAGTGCAGAACGGTGAAACCGGAGATGAAGTCCCGCTTGTTGAGCAGAGACGGGTCTTCTCTGAACAGAGAGAAGATCTCTGTCCACGCCCCCACCGCCCCGCTCACCATCCACGAGTGCTCCCTGGGCTCCAGGGGGACCGGAGACTGTGGACAGGGTCAGAGGGGTCAGAAATCGTGTTTCCATCCAGTTGTAGAGTGAATTTTTATCGAACTTTTCAAAATGCGCAAAAAATTAAATAAGTAAAAATTCGAATCTAGACTGTTTCCTTTTAGTTTCCCTCTCGACTGTTTGATGCGAATAAACGAGGCTACGCAACACGTGATTACGTCAGACGAGGCTACGCAACGTGTGATTACGTCAGACGAGGCTA